CTGAATCCGGAAACCACTCAAACCTCGCACCCTAAACTAATACCACTGAAAAGCCAACTATTGCTGCATGCTGCTGCTACCACTACCACCACGACTACGACTGCTAGAACTGCTGCTGCTGATACAACTACTGCTGCTACTACAACTACTACTACGACTACTACTACGACTACTACTTCTTCTTCTACTACTTATTCTACCACTACTGCTACTACTACCACTACTGCTGCTCCTACCACTACTAATGCAACTAACTAGTGCGACTACTACAACTACTACTACTACTGCTACTACTACTACTACTACTACTACTACTGCTACTACTACTACTACTACTGTGATTACTGCTACTACAACTGCTACCACTACTACTACTACCACCACTACTGCTACTACTACTACTACTCCTACTCCTACTCCTACTACTACAACTACTACAACTACTACTACTACTACTACTACTACTACTACTACTACTACTACTACTTCTACTACTACTCCTCCTTCTTTACGGGATCTATACGCTTTAGGGCCCAAGAGACTCCAATATCCCTTGATTCAGGAATGTTCCTCAAATCATATTAGGGATCCGTCTTTCATCTACGGTATCTTCCTTAATTCAAGAATATTGGAAGGTCTGGGTATCCTCCCAACTTGAAACACCCTAAATTTAAGGTTGCCGAATGGGCAGTTCCTCTTTAGGTTCCCAAAACAGCACGGCACCCATATAAAAGGACCCCAAGAGGGACCCTCGTTTAAAGCGAACTACTGCAGATCCTAAACCCTGGACCCTAAACCCCAAAGCGGACCCTATTCAGGGAGAACTGCTCAATTCATAGCCAAGGCACGCCTCCATACTTTTGATATACATGGCCTGGGCGGAACAGATAGAGTTTCAAAAGCAATCCTTACTTGAAGGTTCGTGGGTAGTTAAAAGTGGCCCTATAAGTAGGGTAACTAGAGTTATAACCCGTACTAAGGGACTTATAACTCCACTTATAACTACCCATGAACCTCCAAGTGGGCGGAGCAGGTAGCTGTTCAAAAGTAGTCCTTAAACCATACCTTGAGGGTTAAATGAACGCTAACAGGGTTTAAGGTACATGCACCGTATATGAAATCATAGAAGAAGGGTATAAGGTCGCTACTGTTGAGAGTCATTTGGTTTAAGAGCTAAACCTGAAACTCTAAACTCAAAGCCCTAATCCCAAGACCATATTCCCTAAACCCTAGAGCCTAAACTGCAAAAAAAGGAACCACGAAGCCCTGAAAGCCTACAGCCCCAGAAAAATCTAAAACCCTGAAAATATTACAACCCTTTTGGACAGCAGCCAGCAAGACTTACAAACTGCAAACCAGCTTTCGAAAAGTCAGATGGGAAGTTGAAAAAGTAAAAAACCGTAAAACCCACGAAACAAACAATAACCTGCAACCTGTGAAACCCTATGGCCCCATGCAGAAAACAAAACCTGGAAACGACCTAAACCCAAAACTAAAAAGCACCCAGAGAGCCCAATACCCCTTAATTAAGGAATATAGCTTAAATCATAATATAAGGCCCTAATGGTTTAAGGTATATTCCCTTAATTAAGGGGTACTGGGCTCTGTGGGCATTCCAAACCCCTAAACCCTAAACCCTAAACCCCTAACCCCTGAACCCTGAACCCTAAACCCTGAACCCTAAACCCCTAAACCCTAATCCAAACGTGCCAGCGAAAGACCGCTTTCTCTTTCATGCTGTACGCGGAGGTGGACCGGATAGAATGGACGTGGCCTCGCTTTGGCTTTGGGGCTTTCGGGTGTGGAGGCTGCTTATATTATCAAGGGACTTAGTAGTTGGGGCCATAAGTAAGGTAACTCCGGTTATACTTCCTTATAACTCCAATTAAGGTACTTCTAACCAAGTTCCATGACCTTTTAAATGGGTGGTTGTCAAAATTAGGGTCCCTTTTGGGGTCCTTGTTATAGTACGGCGCCTGATATTTAAGGTTCCCAAAAAGGGACCATAGTGTTGACAACCCAGTGGGGATGGGGGGGGGGGGGGGTGCGGCTTTTGCACCTTGGCCTGGCCTCGATTTTCGGAACCGTGGCTGGCGGCTAGGTGGTTGTCAAAATTATGGTCCCGTTTTGGGTCCCAATATAGTATGGCACCTAATTTGGGAGTTTCCGAAAACAGGGGTACCGTATTTAGGGGTCCTTATAATAAGGATCCTACTATTTAATAAGGGTATTTTATTCGGGTCCCCTATTTTCGGAAACTCCCATTTAGGGTACCCAAAGAGGGACCATAAGTTTGACAACCACCCGGCTGAAATTGACGGCTTCGGGGTTCAAGGTGCGCAAAGGCACACAAATTCTACCTGTTTCATTCTTGTGGGCTTAGGGTGCATCTTGCGGCTTTCACAAGACCTTGATTCGAGGAGTTTGTGATCGTGGTTGCAGGAGACTTGGATGGATCCAAACTCTAGACCCTAAACCCAAAACCCTAAACCGATCAGCAGGTGCTTCTTTGGGGTTGTATAAGGTGTTCCTACGGCGTTATATGGGTTTCTTTTCTCGTGTTCCTGTTGCAAGCATTTTGCGAAGCAATTACGTATGTAGGATCTTTCAGGATTTAGGGGCCTGAATGATTGGAGGGTACTGCAATAGAACCGTAGAAGGACCATGAGGGATAGTATTACCGCCTACTGCTTATTAATTGACAGCCCAGTACGGGGGTTTCCGATAATAGGGGACCCTAATATAGTACCCTAAATAGTCGGATACTTATTAGAAGGACCCGAAAATAAGGTGCCACTAATCTTCGAAAACTCCCATACTATAGAACCCTTATAGATCCCTTTAAAGGAACCCTAAGGCCTTAACATGCCCCTAAGTTTTCGAAAACTCCCATACTATACCAGGCTGTCAGGTGGCTGTCTCAGGGGTTCAGAGGTCTGAGGGTTGTTCCGTTTCGGACGATTGTCGATATAATCTAGGGGCCCTAGTAATTAGAATAGGGCTCCCTTTAAAGGGATTCGTAAAGGGGTCTATGAGGTATCTATAGTATAGGGTTCCGGGATTAGGGTTTAGAATTTAGGTCTGGGGTATAGGGCTTTCGGGTTTAGGGGCTTGGGGGTTGATTGGTGTGCAGCTTGATTGTTGGTTACAGGGCCCCAAAAAGCACATAAGCAAAAATAGGATAGGGATTTCCCATATAAGCCGCCCCATAAAGAAGCCCCATAAAGTAAGGATATAACTGTAAAATGCTTATGCTTATGCCCTTCTTGAGGTCCCTCTCGCTAGCGAGTGGAGTGGGGTAGAGTTGTTCCGGCCTATGAAGGTCGCAAACGCCACGGCAAGAAGCTTCAAAGCCATAGCGTCACACGATGCGGGTCAGACAAGTGCTAGTATTCGCAAGTGCGTGAGAACAGCTTGGGCAACAATGGCAGCAGTAGATGGATGTTCAGGCTGCTCAGCCAAGGAACCCACAGGGAGTACATTGAGAATCACATCTCAGAGACTCTAGTATCTATGATTTCAGGAAGGTTCATGAAATTAAAGTAGGATCCCCGAAAAGATTTAAGGACAACTCCTTACTTCAGGGATATAATATTTGGGGTCTCTCGGCATCTCAGAAACCCTCAGTACTGTACTTGGAGGGGCAGGGGACTTAGTAAGTAGGTTATAAGTAGAGTTATAAGTACCCTAAATAAAATTACCCCAATTATAACCCTACTTATAAGCCTACTTACTAAGTCCCTTTGCCCCTCCAAGTACTGAAGCCCAACCATCATCCTGAGTCCTCAAGCTAGGCTTCCTTTAAACGGGTCTTTGGGGGTCCCTTTGAGGTATCTTCAGGGGTCCCTTTAAGGGACTTTTGGGGTTCCCTTTGAAGGATCTATACGGTACTCTTTAGGGTTTAGGGTACTTGGAGGATGATTTGACTTACTTTAAAGGGGTCTTTGGGGTCCAGCTTGCAGGAACTCCGCCATGGCCAGGTGGATTCAGTTTCGGTTTAGGGTTGAGGGTTTGGGTTTAGGGTTTAGGGTTTAGGGTTTAGAGTTTAGGGTTTAAGGTTTAGGGTTTAGGGTTTAAGGTTTAGGGTTTAGGGTTTAAGGTTAGGGTTTAGGGTTTAAGGTTTAGGGTTTAGGGTTTAGGGTTATTCACGACACGACACTGTAAACTACTGTTGCTCTTTCGGTCATCAGCTTTTTGCTGAAAGAAGAAAACACACTAGTCTTTGTTGCTCTTAGTATTCCCGTTCATACGCGAGTCTCTTGACGAGGGGTCCTTTGCGGGTGGTCTTGCATTAAGATACCTGCTGCAATACAATCCATATTGGGTTTAGAAGATCCCAGACCCAGGGTTTGGGGTGTAGGGTTTGGGGTTTAGAGAATAGGGCCGTTCTAGCGGGATCTTTGAGATGATATAGGGCAGAAGAGGATATGTAGATTCCTTATCTTACTTCCCCAAGAAGCCACAGAAATGAAGAGGTTTAACTTTCCGACTACTACTAAACCATAAGAGAGCCTGAAAAGTTTAAAGGTTGGGCCTTGGGGAGCTAAGTTATTCAGCTACTATTTGCTTAAGATCCCCCAAAAAATAAATAAATAAATATATATATATATATATATATATATTCCTTATGGGGGTAATATAGGGATTATTATTTTTATTCCTGGTGGTTTCTTAAGCAAATAGTAGGTTATTCAGGCGCTTTAGGAGGAGCCTTTGGGCTTAAGGAGAGTCTCCCACGACATGTTGAAAGGTCTCGCCGCAAGGCTTACGTCGAATACTAGACCTAAGAGTAGCCTAGGAATAAAGAGGGGCGCCCTTTCTTGACTTAAAGGGTGGTATAAGGGAACCTGAACCTGAAAAAAACGGAATGAGGGCTTACTCTGGGCCCTAGAATACCTTCCGGAGAGTATGATTGTTCTTGCGTCAGTAACTGCAACACACACCGAAACGTCCGGCAACCCTGTCTACTCTTTTATCTCTGCAGGCCGCCCTTGAAACGCTCAGCAAGGCTCCTTGGCTGCTCTTCAGCACTCCAGGACTCAAGGGTGCAGGCTTAGGGTTTAGGGTTTAGGGTTTAGGGTTTAAGGTTTAGGGTTTAGGGCTTAGGGTTTAGGACATCAGGTTTGCCAAAATACTACAGAGAAAACAACAGTAAAGCTTCTCTATACAGCCTAGTTCTCCGACTGACCTTGCAAAAAGAGTCTTCCTTTCCATATTGAAACGCAAACCCCAGAAAACAGCCTGCATGTTATGGACCAAAAACCCAAGAAGATAAAGTCCTGAAAGCCCACCAGGTCACCAAGAGAACTAAACCCGAAACCCCAACAACCAGAACTTAAACCCCCTAGAACACTAAACCCTCCAAAACCAAACCCTACAACCTAAACCCTAAACCCCAAACCCTACAACTATAACCCTAAACCCTAAACCCTAAGCCCTAAACCCTAAACCCTAACAGCAGGACTGGCCAGGGCGCGCCCTCTTGCTTCGGACCTCGCCGTCGCTCCCGGACGAAGGCCAGGGCAAAGCGAATCATCATCACAAGGCAGACGCCCTCAGTAAAAGGGGTCTATGGAGGCTCCTTAATGTAATCATAGTATAATATACCCCCAAACCCCATCACAAGGCAGCGCCTTGAGTAGGGTTCGTTTAAATGGGGTCTATAAGGGCTACTGTAAGGGCCGATTTTGAAGGCTCCTTTTTATAATTGCAGTACAATATACCCCCAAACCCTATCACAAGGCAGACGCCCTGCGTTTAGGGTTTAGGGTTTTAGGGCTTGGGGTTTAGAGTTTACGGTTCCTTTAAGAAGGGGCTCCTTAGCATAATATACCCCTGCATCCTTAGAATAGGGGACCTTTAAAGGGTCCTTTAACGGGGTCTATAAGGGAATTATACTGATGTAGGGGACTTAATAATTCGAATAGGGTCCTGGGGGCTCCTGGTTATAGTTATAGTATCATATAGTTACCCCCAAACCCTATTCTACTGTTGATGATATAAATCCTGCATTACCATAAGGGCCCTAAACTATGGGAATAATGGTATATTCCTCACTACGGGTAATGCAGGATTTATATCACCAACCGTAGTTACTAAGGCCAGGCCACTACATAATGTAGGTCCAGGGTTCAAGTTCAGAGTGTACAGTTCTTGCAGGGCCGTCTTTTCTGCGATTCAGCACCTGTAGGCCTTAGTGACCCCTGAACGCGAACGCGAACGCGAACGCGCTGAACGCGGCCCGAACGCGTGTTCAGAACGCGGCCTCGTGAACGCGCTCACTTTGACACACGAACATTGCAAAAAACAGTCTCGTGGTCCAAAATCAGGGTTTGGGCACAGAAATTAAGGACCGGAGCTGCAGAATTCAAGTTAGGGACCTAAAATAATGGTCCGGGGATCTAAAGCTAAGGCTCGCGATCCGAGAATTCAGGTTTGGGGCCCGTTTTTAAGGACGCTCTGGTCCGAAATTAGGGTTTGGACACAGAAATTAAGGACCGGAGCTGCAGAATTCAAGTTAGGGACCTAAAATAATGGTCCGTGGATCTAAAGTTAAGGCTCGCGATCCGAGAATTCAGGTTTGGGGCCCGTTTTTAAGGACGCTCTGGTCCGAAATTAGGGTTTGGACACAGAAATTAAGGACCGGAGCTCGAGACTTCAATTTTTGGACCTGAACTAATGGCCCGGAGCCCTGAAATTAAGGTTGGCGACCCAAAATTAAGGACCGGAGCTGGAGAATTATTTAATTTTAAGGACCGGATCTCGAATCTCGAGAAGTCTGGGAGTCTGGGACCAGAAACTAAAAGGACCGGTGATATAAAATTTAAAATACTAAAATACTAAATTAAAATACTATACACCGTGACACCACACCACCAGGCCGGTGACCAGGAGTAGGAAGAAGAGGAGGACCTGAGCGGGATTATGAGTGGGTGGGAGCTTAGAGGAACTGAGGAATGAGTCATGAGTCATGATCATGAGTCATGAGTCATGAGTAGTCAGTCATGAGTCATGAGTAGTAGTAGTCGTAGTCGTAGTCGTAGTGGTAGTTGTATTTTTGGTCTTGGTGGCATAGTAGCAGCGGCAGTATCAGTAGCAGTAGTAGTAGTAGTAGTCAGTCAGTCGTAGTAGGAGTAGTATTAGTAGTAGTAGTAGTAGTAGTAGTAGTAGTAGTAGTAGTCGTAGTAGTAGTAGTAGTAGTAGTAGTAGTAGTAGTAGTAGCCGTAGCGGTAGCGGGAGCAGTGGCGATTGTAGGGCTAATAGAAGCAGCACTACCAGTCTACCAGTAGAGTAGTTAGTAGTAGCTATTACTAGTAGTAGTAGTAGTAGTGAGTGAGTAGTGAGTGAGTAGTGAGTGAGTAGTGAGTACCAGGCACCAGGACCAGGACCAGTACTAGGCACTGGGCACTAGGACTAGGCTAGGCTACGTGGCCGCGGTCCCGGCTTCGGTTCGGAGCTCGGGGTCGAGTGGAGGTCGGGGTAGTGGTCTTATTGGTTTTCTGCAGATTTGCAGGGTTTGTTGGAATTAGTTAATGAGTCATGAGTTGAATGAAATGGAAATAGCCGAGCTGGGAAACCAGTAAACCAGTAAACCCCAAAACTCGCAAAAAAGGAACCCGAAATAATTCCTGAACTCGTAATTCCCCGCCGAAGTCCGAAAGGAAGTGACTCAGTGACTCTGACCCGAGCCCTGAAAAGCGGTGCCGGGAGAGTTGCTGTGACAAACTTTATCCTGCCGCTCGCACACCCGAGCTTGTCGTCGTGAGTCGTGAAACTGGAAAGACAGTCCTGCTGTGGCAGACTGATTGAATAGCCCACAGCCCAACACCTTCAGGTAGAGCTGCTTTCGGAGCTCGAGCTGCTTGAGCTCGAGTCCTGCTCACTTTGCGAGGCTTCATTCACCAGATCATCGTTGAAACGGAAAACCGATGCTGCCACTGCAGAGCTCTTCTGTGTACGTTTCAGAGGCTTTCGGTTGAAAAGCAGCGGCCAATTGTACACGACATTCAAAAGCTTTCGTTTGAGGCCCACTTGCATCCGATTTCGGATTGGGGTCACCTGCCGGCACAGTGTGCTCCAGCAGCGTTCTGAAGTTCCTTGCGAAGGCCGCAGAGCCTTCAGTCGCAAAAAGATCTTTAGAAGTGAACTGCTCGGCTGTTTTTTCCGCCAGAACTCCACGACATCGTCTTCGGACTTCACTTTTTGCAACAAGCGCTCCATGCCGCTGCCAGGCAAAAGATCGCCACTCAACCACTTGCCGAAATCTCGGGCAGCTGCCTGACCTTGAGTTTCCATCCAGCTGGTGGCCAAGGACACAGACCATTGCCAGGCCTCCGGAAAGTCGAAGCCGACGCCCTTGACTGGGGGAGGTTTGGTCGAGTCTTCTTCTTCTTTTGCAAAAGTTGCAGACTCAATTGCAATTGCAGACGCAGACACTCAAGTTGAAGCGTGGGCAGTGGGCAGTTTGCAGCTTGAAATACCAAAAAAACGGTTTAGGGTTTGGGGTTGAACATTGAGGGTTAAACGGCTTTTAGTTTATAGTTTGTTGTTAATAGTTAATAGTATAGTAACGTATAGGGTTCAGGGGTCTTGCAACTCCTCTATTGCCGCCGGGCATCCAAACCGTCTTCCCCATGCATGAAAGCACTCCGCATCGACGGGTCCATGACGAAGGCGCAAGCATGCTCTCCACGTAGAAATTGCTCTCGTCGGTTGGACAAGACAGTCTGCAGCTGTTGAAGCCGCTCAGACTTCACCTCCGGATCCTCCTTCGTCATCCTGTCGACAAAATCACGTTTGCGGCAGACGTCGATGAGGTTCTTCTCCATCTGAAACCACGCAGGCACCATTGCAGCTAGGTGCATCTTCCCTGCCTTGCGGGTGAAGGCCTTGACAGGCTGCAGAATGCTCTCTGCACGCCGGCAGCGTTCTAGCGTCGGCTGTCTGTTCCAGAGCTTCTCTGCTCTCTCAACCCTGGCTTCGGCCGCTTTCCCTTTTGGGCGTGTCAAGTCCTTCCAAGCCTGCGATGTCATCAGGTCCCGCATGAAGTCACTGTTCTCGTTGAAGGCCTGTGTGACATCAAACGCCGAAGCAAACCGGGTCCTCCGCAGAACCTTCAACTTGACGATGCGACGGAGCTTCCTGTCCTTCTTGGCGTCTGCCTGATTCCGGCGGATGAAATGGTTCAGCTTTTTCTTCTTTCTGAAGACACGCTGGCTAAAATGTGCGTCCTTGACGATTTTGCCAAGCCAGGGGAAAACATCCATCACATCCTTCGCGAGCAACTCCCCTGCATGTTCCAGACAGCCGAGGCCCGAAAAGCCAGGTCCGAGCTCCTCCTTGAGGATGGCCAGTGCACCTGGACTGGACTGGACACGACATACTGTTTCTGCACTGCCTTGCCTTGCAGAAGGGCACCGGCAGGCAGTGCAAACTGCAAACTTTGCAAACAAAACAAACACCTCCCAAACCAGGGCAAAACAAGAGCCAACAGCGACGATTTCAAATTCAAAGACGGGATCTAAGGGTTGCGGTTTAAGAGGCTTAGGGCTTGAGGAGGAAAAGGCAAAACAAACCCAGTTGCTGCCGAAGAACCGCAGCAGTTGGTTGCATTGTCCGTTGTGGTTCCAACAAGTGAGTCACCGATCCGTGTCACGGATTCTTTCAGCAACTGTGCAATGTACTGCGAAGTCTTCTTGTCGGAACCAGCATCCACCAGGTCGACAAACAGGACCTCCCCATCTGCACTCTCAGCCAAGACGTTCAAGAGTTGCTCGTCTTTGCTTGAGGCCCCGTCGTGCACTAAAGCCCACGGCCCTCCTTTGGCAAAATAGGCATCCACCTTGCTTTGCAGCTCTTTGTGCATGGACTCAAGCAAGTTGTGAAATTCATGCCTTTTCGGAGGTGTATACTGCCCTCGAGACAGCAGCTGGAATAACTCGTCAGAGACAGGGTGAGAAACTCCACGGACAGAAACGGCTTGGACAGCAGCGGTGACGACATGAAGCCTCTTGGCATCCGTCAACTCCGCTTCCGTGAGTGGCTCTAGTACCTTCTCGTCCTTTTCTTCATCCAAAGCCACCAGACCAGCAAGTTTTGCCCAGGGCAGGACGTGGTTTTCTCCTGCCGCCAGCAATTCTCGAATGGTCTCAGCATCAGGCTTGTACTGCGGACAGCCCCTATTTCTGATGGTTTTGTCGCCCCGCACGCTCTTGACGAATGCCTTCATCTGCTCCGGGACTTCATCCACCCCGTGCAAGTCCTTGTACGCCTGCTCGGAGATTGGACCAAGCAAATGGTAGATGCAGCGGGTCGGACTCACCCCTACGCTTGTCCATCTCCCTTCGGCATGCAAAGCACAGTTCAGGCAAACCCAAGTCGGAGTCAAGGCGCCCTCTGCCACTGTGGATTTTTTCGAGCTGCTTGTCGCCTTTGTTGACATGTCCAGCCTCACGAAGTTACCCTGCAGCAGTTTCTTGACCACATCTGATCTTATCGCAGTCTTTTTGGCTGCTGTGACCGAGCACTGGGCCCATTCTGTCGGAACTCTTCCTC